GATTCACTCAGCTGCAGAGGTGATGTAGAGAAAGAGCATATTTATGTATTTTATTAGGGCTGTCAAGTTAACGCGTTAATAACGCGTTAACGCAAACAAAAATTAACGCCACTAATTATTTTAACGCGATTAACGCATGTTTATTTGTTGTCCTCGGCCGCCCCGTAGTTTCAGAGCGCATCGAGTTTAAAATACCATCTACAAGCTGATGCTGACAGCCCCGCTCCTGTCGCCCGCTTGTGGCAGACCACACTTCCACGCTCACCGGCAGGCACCGACTGGCCATCGGGAGGACCGGGAGGGTGTGTGTATGTGTGGCTCGAGCGAGAGTAAGACCTTACGTGTATTGTTGTTGTTAGCATCTGGTGCTAGCTAGCTGCGCTAACGGATATAAGGAGCTGTTTAAATGAAAACAGAGGAGCAACATTTCGCCGACAACTGCGCCGAGCACTTGACTTTATGCAGGTAGCCAGCCAGTGGGACATTGTACGAGAAATCAGCACACTAGTGCGCAACATGATTGCAGCTCCCGTTCGAGCATATGCCCTGAGTTGCACATAGCTCCAACGAACACACACACACACACACACACACACACACACACACACACACACACACACACACACACACACACACACACACACACACACACACACACACACACACACACACACACACACACACGCACGCACGCACACACACACACACACACACACACACACACACACACACACACACACACACACACACACACACACACACACACACACACACACACACACACACACACACACACACACACACACACACACACACACCATTTGTATTGTATTATTGTATGAGAGAGGTTCCAGGTTGAATTGAGGCGAATATTTGTAATGTTCAGAGGTTGTTGTGTTTAATATTCATGAGAATATTTGTCATTGTTCAAATGATAATAAACATTAGCATAAAGCATATTTGTCCACTCATATGTTGATAAGAGTATTAAAAACTTGAAAAATATTCCTCTAAGGTACATTTAGAACAGTTAAAAAATGTGCGATTAATTTGCGATTAATCGCGATTAAATATTTTAATCGACTGACAGCCCTATATTTTATATAAGAAAGCAAATTGTTCAAAAATAAATTCTTAAACATATGATATGATCCTAGTACTATTTAAAACATGTAAAGATATGAGTGTGTGTATATAAAGGATACATCCAATGTTAAAATTACAATCATTATTAATGTTTCTTACTTAATCTCATGTATCAGAATCACTGATACATGCACATTTACAGTATCTTTGACATTTTAAATAGTTTTGCCTGATGCAGAGTTTTGTATATGTGCATGTGGTTATATTACTACTTATATCATCTATACTTCACATATTTTTTAAGAGGAAAGGGAGTCATAAGACAGAGTCTTAAAAAAACTGAAATAGCCGAGCAATGAAAAAATGTGAAGGGCATTTGGATAGAGTGCAGACTTCAGCCAAAGCCACTTCCATAAGTAAAATAATGTGCATGTATCCGGACAGGGATTCCCATCAGTTACACTATTTAACATACTTCCTTGGTACGTACTTGACCCTTTCACCAAGTTTCATGTAAAGCGTACTAAAGTTTAACCTATTTTCGCTGACAAACCCCCCAACAGACAACCAATCAACATGAAAACATGGCAGGGAAAAAATTATCGATTTCTATGAAGCACCGAGACAGAATTGATACGTTGTGTGGTGAAAAAGGTCAATTTGAGATTCTCTGCAATGGAAAACCTTGAGATCTAATCTGGCAAAGTCGAGATTTCTCTCAAGCTTTATTTAGATTCAAATGAATAGTCTGTCCATAAGAGTGGAGAACTAATTTCCACTAGAGAAGGTACATTGTAACCCCTTCTTACTCACCTGTAGCTCAAACATTAGTGACTTCCGAAAATGAAGAATCTTTAGAAGATAAGCCTCAGCTAAGTGAGTGCAGGTATTAATATTCCTGATGAGGGTTATCAGGCATCTCCTTTTCAGAAGAGCTTATAAATATTAACTGTACAAATGTTTAAGCATAATCAGAACTCTAAGAACAGACATAGATACAGTATGTGCTCTTTGAAATGAAAAAGTGCTTCGTTCAAGCATTTCTCCTTGATTTAGTAAGTTTATTGCACATTCCTTTAACTTGTAGTTCACTGTTGGTTTCAGTGTACAATATTACTTCTTATAAAGAAGCTTCTCTATGTCTGACAACAATCAGTCAGTGGTATCACTGTTGTGCCTCAATTTAAGATTTGAATTATACTCTTTTCCAACAATATATTATAGGTCTCAGATATACAAAACATGTCTCTGACGTGTTTGGCTCGAAATACCAAACAGATCATGCATTGCAGTATCCCATAAACCCCTCTGTTTCAGCCCTGTTTCAAAAGCGCTGATTATCTGTCTGTAGCTTTAAATGCAAATGAGCTGCTGCTGGCCACGCCCCTCTGAGAGATATTTGGTTAGAAAAAACACAATGGTGCTCTAGGAGGAGATTCAGGTGATAAGGGGGGGGGGGGGGTGGGTTACCTTGGTTGGTTTTTGGCTAATGGTTACACAACCCAAAAAAACATTATGACATCACAAAGTGGCCAAAATCTGATCTGCTAATTTCCAGACAGGTTTTTATATAAATGAATCGGGACAACAAGAGAGATAATACTTGCTTTCACAATCTTGTAACACATAGGGGACACATCTATATAAAATAAATGAAAAAGTAGATTTTGCATAGGTGACCTTTTAATAAACCTTTTTCAACAAACGAGAAAAACACTTCGGGGCAAATATTTTGGACTTTTTGCATCTTCGAGCCTGACCCCTCTGACCCCCACCTACTCGCTGTCCTTGGTAATAAAACAACAATTAATAGTTTGGTGCTTCATTGCTGCTGTCACAATATCCGCTGCCCTTGCAGTCATGTGAAGCTTCAGCATCTGCATCTCCTCAGGTTGCCTTTCCCCTCCATGAATAATTCACCAGGGAGAGTTCAGTCTCTAATAAGATGAGTAAGCGTAGGTGGGAAAGGTTAAAGCTGACAGCAAACCCTCTAAAACATATTGTTTTGAGTATTTGTATTATTCTATCATTACTGGTTGGATTATTTTTAGAATCGTATCTTTTATTTATCTGTCATTTGTACTGATGAAAAAATTGTGACCGTCAAAAAATGTCAGCACCAAAAGTCATGATGTGTGAACTGATTTACAATTTGTTATACTTTTAAGTTTGGTGACTTGAACAAAGAGCTTTAATGGGACTGTATAATGGCCCACAGTGTTGATATAATATTTATGGCAGATATATAATAATGATAATGGACATTTCATGTGGATGTTTCAAAATGTGTTGTTCTATTAAAGTGATACATTAGAGTGCAGCAGTCAATGTCTATACTAAATACAAGTTTTTTTCTTTAACTTTTGGGAACAATAATTAAATGGGTTGTTAAATGAATAAGAAGCATTGCAAATGCCAAAAATAGAAAGGGCGACAAGTCAGTCGCCAGTAGCTTGGTTAGTCCAACACTGTTTTGCAGAGGCAATGTTACTGCATCCAGTTAGTAGTGTTTTGTTCCCCTATAGCAGAGACATACTGGGTGCAGACAGACAGGGTTGTGGAGATGGGTCTAGCAATGCAAGACTAATCACTAGTGGAGCCTCGATTGAGACGTTTGTGCCAGTTAAGTAAGCAGTTTGGGTTCTTCTAAGGTGTTTAAACACAAGTTTACTTTGTTAAGTGAGTTCTACCTCTGCAACAGACAGCGGTGCGATGCCTAAACATTCTCATTAAAAATCAATGTGGCAGGCAGTGTACGGTTACTTTCTTTAAAGTTACATGTACAAATCAGCCTGTTGTGAGAGTCCTAATCACTGCAATAGCAATCGTACGATCAGCTGCTGGGTTCAAAGCAAGAATATTCAAGACTTGACTGGTAAAATCCCAGGAAAATAAAAATAGGGCAGCATAAAACCTTGCATGAAAATACTCAGTTAGCGCTATAGAAAGGACAGTATTGACCCAGAGAAGTGTAAAGATATGATTGAAGGTCATTTTAATGAATTACCCCAATGAACGCATTACTTCATTTGATACTTGGTTTGAAGGATTTGACACTTGACTAGGACTTAACGATTTTATTTGGATTTAGTTCAAATGACTTGAGACAGTCGTGTTAGAATTGCTTCAAATTAATAATTGCTTGACATACTGTAGAGTCTAGACTAGTCTTGCATGACTATGAGTAGAGTTCAACGTTTCTGGAGTGACTGACACTTGATTTCTACTTGTCTCAAATACTTAATCCTGGACTGAGACCTTTCTCGAATTACTCAACGCTTGACCTAATCTTGTCTCAAATTACTTCCCTTAGACTTGTCTCAAATTACTTGGTACTTGACTTTGACTTGTTTCCATTTACTTGACCTTTGACTTGACAGTTGACATAGACTTGTCTTTATTGACATTCCACTTGACTTGTTGTTATTTCAACAGGCTTTCTCCATCCTACACAAAGCTAACCAACCTGCACAACAAAGAAAATTCAACCGACATCACACTGCAACCAAAAGGATTTAGGACTTTTGCTTTGAGAGGACAAATTAGTATTTTTTATCGGATATGAAGCAGTTGGGAAAAATATGTGTCGTTATTAATTCGATAAGTTTACCCAGGGTTTGTTTTTTCATCTGAAAGGCGGAGTGATAGGACTCAATTCCCACATAATCCTATGCTATACATATGCTTTCCGACCTAATAACTACAGGCCTTTTTTTACATTTAACTAAATATAGTTTTTAGTTTCACTTTTTTGTACAATTCAGCAAATGACACAGTGGCTTGAACCCAGTGCATGCATTATGACTCAATGATGTGAACTAAGCCACGCATACATTATTGGAGGATTCATCATTCATATTAAACACAGCCATTTGTACTGTTCATTTTGACCCATGAGAAAAAATAAATACCAATCCCAAGTGTATCAGACAGTGATCAGACGTTTTATTCAACTTTTGTCATGATCATAGATTAAATGTCAATAATTCGAAGTCATTCCAACAGAAAATTAGACATTTCAAAGCGAACGTTGCCCGGTTTCCAAGAGAATTTGGCACAAAGTAAAAGGTAAGATCATGTTGTGTAAGTGTGGGTGTGCTTTAGAGTGTTATGCTGACAGGCAGGTTACAGGTCAATGAATATATAAAGGAAAGAGAGCATTCAAAAATATCAATGAGAAAACAGTTCACGCAGCGCACTCTTCCAAACGGAGAGATCACAAATCAATAAAACCTAAGGTCCATGATACACAAACTGTGCTTTAGGCAGTGTTCAGCAGAGATGTGCGTTGGCTAATCCATCGCTTTCTGTTCTCTCTGTAGTGAGATTTGTGATTTTCCTACTGTTTGTTCTCTTTTCTTTCTTGGAACATTTTCACATAGCTGCCTAAATTAAATCGTTCGGATAGTGTCTTTGTATATGGTAACAAACACGGATAGGAGAGGTGTGTGAGGGAGGAAAATCAGAAAGACTGTGATATGTTTCGGCTAATTAACTGTCTGCATTCCCTAAACTTCTGCACTATTTACCTTGGCGTTCAAAGTCTCTGCTTTCAGCTTCATCTACCTGTGTGTTTGCTGGCAGTTCTTCATTTTGGTTGTGGAGGAGGAAAGCTGTCATCACAGTCCCTCCAAATTGGGGCCTTGACCCTAGTGACAGTCTTCTCGGTGCCATGCTGTTTTTCACCTGTATCACACACCTGCCAATCCTCAGTATGTGACATCATTATCTCCTGCATTTTTCCACCAGTTGGATCAGTTTGCAATATGCAGCAGAAACCTATCTCCGTTTTCCATTCAGAGGGAGACTAAGCTCTGGGTATGCCTATAGATTGAGGGCATGAGGTCTGATGAGCGGGGGAAATTAAAAATTAAAACTAAAAACAGACAGATTCTTCTCCCACTGTATCTTGAATGTGTGACTATAAGTCATCTGCACGATAAAGATGATATATTCCAAATAATGCACATGTGTTAAAATGGGGTGTCTTTGCATGACATGGAAACACAGAATTTGCATCCGATAGAAATTAATTTAGTGTAATATGGTTTCTTGACTATGTGTTATAAAGACATTCTGACAATTCACTGACAGTTGCGCCCCTTATTGTACACACTGTGTATATTTACAGTATATGTATATTTGCACATAACATCTGATATACCTGGGTTCCTTTAGAGAAGTTGGAGTAACTGTCATTTCGTAGCCTGTGTTGTGTAGTATGTAACAGTTACTTTCTTGGTCTCCAAAAATAGTTGTTTGTGTGAGTTTTGGCCTCATCATCGAAGCCACGATTATTTGAAGCAGTGTCTTTCAATAGTGTTTTTTTTTCAAATTTACAACATTTTTCCGCTATACACCTGGTCCACATCAGATTCAAGAGCACAGTTTGGTTTCTCTTCGCTCGGTTATCCAAAGAAATGATTGAAATCAATGTCACTGATTTTAAATATATAAACCGGATCCATTTCCAGGTCCATAGTGAGGTGATTCAGGTCCTATTAAAATAATATCCACCAAGAAAAAGAGACTCTTTGGCCACTGAGGGTTGAATATGACGAAACCTTAGCGACAAAAAGTACCTCTTGTTTTGAGTTCTGTTACCCTGGCCCCCTTTTCCCTTCACTACACAATCCCCTCACTGCGCTTGCTCCTCCACACCACCAAGGCCGTCATGAGGAGGGTGACCAGGATGGGCACTGCAATGAAGGGCCCCAGGATGCGATTTGGCGGGTCCTGGAGAAGCCGTCCAGACAGCGAGCAGTCGTGGAAGTAGTGTTGGTGGACTCGGATAAAGAACTCATCCACCAGTCTGTTGGGCCAGAAGCAGTCCATCTTCTCCGCCACCAGGTATGTGCAGTTTGTTAGCTCGCCGTAGAGTCTGCATGTTAGCGACAGAAAAAAAAGGAAAACAAAGTTAAACAGTGAAGATCAACTGACCGTTTGCAATCTCCACTCTTCTTTGTAAGTGTTGTAATGTCTGTCAAACTCTTCAATCTCACATGGCAAATATGAAGGTGCCACTCAAATTTCTTGGGTAATGTTTTAACAAAAAAAGGACCTTTTTAACTTACTTCTAAATGTTTGAAACTGAAACATAAGCTAGTCTCTGGCTTTGGTTAGCTTAAGCTAATGGCTAATGCCTTTCGCTTACTTTTCAACGTTAGCACTAGTGAGAAGAAGGTAAAAAAAAAAGGTAAACCTGACTCTTTTTCAAATCACCAATTGTCAAGGGATTGGGTTTATTTAAATACAATAAAGCTAACCCTTGGGCTAGTAAGCAATGCCACTGTAAGTACTATTGTGAGCCATGTAAACGTTTATCTGAGCATTGTTTAATCTATTCCTTAAACTTTTTATATTCGGATATTCTAAAGAAGACAGTTCGGTGTCATTTACATCAATTACGCATTTGGATAGGACTGCCATGCCTAGTTATCGTTGCTATTATTGGACTATTCAGAGGAGAAGTTTAGCTAACGATCGACATTTGCTGTAAAAAAACAACTCTTGTTTTGTTTGGTGCTACGTTTTATGAGTTGACAAACTCTACAACCGTTAATTTCATAAAACCTTGTCAAGCCCAATGAAGAGTATGACTCTTGTACCAGATGGCTCAGATGCAAAACACAGTCCTTCACTGTGACAGACACTCACAAAAAACAGCCAAGGGAGAGGTTGTACCCATGGTCCATTATTATGTGTGTGTGTTTTGTTCCTCCATGGTGAATCGAGCTTCATCATAATAGAGGTAATGGCCCATGATTATGAGTGAGCACACCGAGGACACTAACTGCACAAATGAAGGTCATCACACATATAAGGTACAGGCAGAATTTCACACTTATAGACACCAAACACAGAAATGCACATTCAAACCTTTGTATTGATTTTGTCAGAAAAATAACCAGTTTTTGAATTATGTATTAAACTGATGTTAATGTTAAAATGATTTTTCAATGTTCCATGAAGGGAGGTCAATTTATGTTGAGTGCACCTCTTAAAATAGAGAATAAAAGCAAATGATTTGCTCTTCAGTCCTGCTTTTGAAAAACATCCTTGCATACCTTTTTAGTTACTGATCTTTTAAAGTTGCATTGATATATTTTTTAACTCTTTAGTGGCTTGGAAATCTTCAATAAAAAAAAATCAAATACTATTATCTTATTACATCACATGTTATTTAGCAGAAGCTTTTATCCAAAGCGACATACGTACACTTCAATAAAGTAGTCATGACTAAGTGAACTATTTTGATGTTGAGTATATGCTGAGGGACTGGGGATTGAACCGCTGACCCTTTGATTGGTAGATCAGTGCATAATCACCCTGACATTTCCCTACTTGCACATCTAGCAGACTCAGAGCAACGTGTCTCTGGCCACCTGACTAATTTAAGTCCAATATTCGCTTCATTTTTAACTCTGATTTAGTCTCCACCAATTAATGATGGAAATATGTTTAACCGCTAAATGCTACTAGGTTGACAAACTAGTCGCTAACTCCACTTGCCTGCCATCTGATGCTGGGATGGTAGCGTAGAGTAGAAACAAGTTTAGTAAGAGCAGTGAGTGTGAATACATTTACGACCACAGAACTCCAAATATGTAAAATACTGTGTGATAATTCTCTATGGGGAACACGACACAATAGTTATTAGGGTTGCCATCACATCCAAACATTGTCGGTAGTGTATAATTTCTCCTCTACCAGTCCCTCTGTGATGTTCACAGCTCAGATGTAATGTTTTTTTCATAATCTGACATATTTTGTTAGTGCCTCCCCATACAGTTTCTTTGTGGACGTTTTGGGGATGTAAACAGCTTAGGGCTGGTTGGCATGGAACCAGCACTACAGAGCACTACAGTAGCTTTAGGTGGCAAACTCAGTTTGTCTGGGCGTGTTTTTTTTCCTCTGCTCTTTCCTTGAAGTTGTACAAATCAGTCGTAGAGGAGAAAAAAAGAATGCTGGTCTAATGAGCTCTGAGGTTTCTGGGAATGTTTATGAGTCACAGAGTAAAATAAGTGTCAGAGTCGAGGCAGGGGTAGTTACACAAAGAGATGTCAGTTACTAATTCACCTCATCCAGCTAAGGTTATATTGAAACTGATGGTGCTCAGATTCTACATGAATCATAGTGTGTAGGTGCAAAATGTAGTCCACTATGTCATTTTCACATTTCCTTTTAATCATCTCAGTTAATTAAAGAGAATACATGAAGTGAAACAGCCTGTGTGACATGATGGTGGTTATGCGCCTTACTGGTGGAACTAATCGTATTTTTTAAAGAAATATTATATGCAAAGGTTTCAGCTTGATCTTAAGAGCAGCCTTTGTGCCATGAATAAGACATGCAGTGCTGTGCAAATGGGGACTGGGCTCTGGTTTCAGACAGGCTGAAAAGAGTTGCTGCTGCACAGGAATGAGAAAAATAATGCCTTTTTTTGTTTACACTTCAATGCATGTCAACATGTCACAATAGAGGCACAAAATACAAATATACACCTGAAAATGAGCAAATATATATTGACATTTCATTCTGAAAAAGTGTCTAAAATGTTAATCGCTGCCATTATAGAATTGGTTCAAAATATTCACATTTTTGTGTCATTTATCTATCACCCCATATGTGTAAAGCCTAAAAAAAAGGCGAATGTAATTGGTTTCTATCAGCTCAGTGTGATGGTAATGAATAAACAGTAACCTACAGAGTGGTAACATGATTACTGCAGTTATATTACGGATGTTGGCAGTTGCAGATACTAATTGGTATCTTCCAAGTTTAAAGTTAGAAAATGCAGTTATGACTGAAGCCTTTAGTTTACATCACTAGGCTTAACAAAGGCCAAAGTGCTCCGCTTACTCAGAGAGCCAGACACCCTATGCTGGATGCTTATGTAAGCACTAATGGATGTTCGGATAACTCATTATCCAAGTAGTCTATTCATGAACCAGGCAGCATTGCATACATTTTGATTCCAGTTAAGATTTGCCATCTCAGATTAAATCTCAAGACGGAGAAGAGAAGGTTGACATGGAAAGACTCAGTGTATTTAGACAAAGACACAGAGAAGCTTTACACAAGATTGGCTATTCTAAACAGTAACAGAGTTTGTGGCCCTGTCTCCCATTTTAAATCACTTCAGATGTCCTGATAAACTTATGCTGGCCTTTAACATAACGTTCCTGTTTAAAGGTTAAAGCAGTCTCCAAGTTGGGAAGGTGGATCAGAAAGGAAGTGCAGAACTCCACTGCATATTTCGCCTCGGATATTGGAGAAAATATGTATTTACACTTTTACTAACGGTTCATAGCCTCAACATAGATGTATAATGTATATAAAACATGGCAAAACCCAGTTCCAAAATGACGTTCCATGGAGGGAAACCAGCTCATGCTGTGAGTTTCAGGAAAGTAACAATCTTTCTGATCCACTAAACGCATGGACCGTCCATCCTGCCACAAGCAGAATCCTCAAAGTGATACTGCATTATGTCACAAAAGTTATACAAGGATACAGGAAAACACGAGGGGAACCGAGAACCAAGTATAGTATATCGAGCTGTGTGTTTGAATATTTATGCTAATATTTGAGGTTTTCTCTTTCCTGTAGTGTGTTGGTTTTAGTGCATGATGTAAATGGTCTGCAAATACTAAAATCCCAAAGTTCCCTTCCAGAAGGAGTTTCTCTCCCACACACTCCCCCCCCCCCCCCCCCCTCCCCCCTCCCCCCTCCCTGCCTGAAGCGCCTCCATTGGACTCCTTTGTTTACGCCGACATAGTGGCATCACTACGTAACACTAGCGCTCCAAAACAAGTTAAATAATAGGCTAATGGGTGGGACATCTCTAAGCAGTTGACCAATCACAACAGATCCGGCCAGCTAACCAATGAGAGCAGACTGGGCTCTGTTTTCAGACAGAGGGTGAAAAGAGGTGCTGCAGCACAGGCAGTATGAGAAAATAAAGAGCTTTTATACATTGTGAACATTTCAAAGTAGAGGCAAAAATATACAAATATGAAACCTGAGAACTGCTTACAAATGTTTTCTCCTGTTGTGAGTGCAGTTGTTGTTCCTTTTATTACTTTGCTAGGAGAGTTGTCAGATTGCATGCATTGTTAAGTTTGTGCATGCTGTGCCCACTCTCATGTCAAGTGTTTGTTCGACAAAAATCCCAACAAGTGTGTGGGAGGTGAAGTACGCAGTAGCGGTGATACAAAAAAGAGTTCTGTGAAATGATGTTTGGAAATGACTTCACAGCTTGTGAATATATTAGTTTTCAGGTTGTTATCGAAAGGTGCAAACATCAATGAAGTATCTTCACAGAACTAATAGGTATGTGAGCAGAAAATCAGCTCATAACCAGTTCATAATGTAATGACAAGGAGGACAAACAGAGCATGACACATACATTTATAGAAATATAGAGATGCTGACATGCATGATCAACGATGAGTTAGAGACGGGAAGCCTCATTGACTTCCCATATGTAAAAGATGAAGGACAGAGGGCTGAAATGCTGTTTCAGATAGTTTGATCTGTTGAATGAAGAGCACAGTGTGAATAAATAAAAGCCGCATAATGATTAAATAAAAAGTGACAGAGAGCAAAGCTGCTCAGTGACTTGAGAAATGAGAAAGGACTGTTCCCTCATTCTACTAACGGACAATCAATGACAAGGATGACAGGATATGCATGGAGGTCACCTAACTCAGCCCACATACAAGTAAACCACATTTATTAATAACATTTAGAGTGAATCACATTTTCTCACGGATAAAAGTCGCTGCTTAAGACGTCAACGTTATAAATGAAAACAATAAAAAATAAAAAACGTAGGTAGGTTAAGTTAAAACGTTTTGGTTAACATATTTTAGTGTG